TCATCTTGCAGATTCTACCTCCTTCTAGTCCCTTCTATAGTTTGGTAGTTAGTTAGGAATTTTGGCTATAAATAGGGAATTGTAATTCCATTATACTTGAGTTTGATGAATGAATAAATAAATTCTCCTATCATCATCAGTTCCTTCAATATATTGTTATATTGAATTCTATCATTTTATTTTCTCTGCATCTATGTTTAATTTATGTTCTGTTCTGCTTATGCTATTAATCGTTCCTGCACTTTCTTCTCTTTCTGCTACTGGTTGATTGCTGGTTCATGATTTCTGCTGGTTCTGTTCTTGCTAATTACAGTTTCTCAACATGGTATCAGAGCCATAGAAATGCTCATTCCGTCTGCAAATTTTCATTCATGATTCAGAAAGGCGCAATGCCCAATTGTTGAGAGGCTGACCAACTCTCTTCTTCTTCTTCTTCTTTGATAAAGCTTCCTTGCATCTCCATGGCAGAAGCTTTCTTCATCAGTTTCCAGTTTGTTCATCAGCTTGCATCTATTCGATTGATGCTCCTGGCAGTGAATTTTTTCTCTGATTTCAAATCAGTTTTTTTTATGTTCTCATTACTCATCAATGATGATGATGTTTTCTCCAAATTGGAGCTCTTTTGTGGTTCTATCGATTTCAATCTCGAAGAAACCTCCCGCAGATGCAAATGGTACCAGCAGGTTGCCTGGTACTCAGGTTGTCACTCCCAAATCATTTCAAATTTCAGTTCTTCCCAGAATTGTTGAGTTCTCTCAATCTCTCTCTCTATCTGGGAATGCATAATTGAAGAATTTAAGCTCTCAGCATTTACCTCTTGTCAAATAAATTCAAAATGGAATCCTACGAGTACAGGCACGTGGTTCTTCTGACTGAAGTTGGCAATATCATACCAGGTGTTCGATGTAATGACTGAGAAGAAAGAAGGTCGACTGCATTTGCTAATCTTTTAACTCGAATATAAAGTTACTGTAATCTTCCACCAATTGTCTGCATCTCTACCATTCTTCTCTCCAAGTTCAAGATGTTCCATCTTGAGGGGGGAGTGTTAGAATATGCAACAAAAACATCACACGAATCATGATCCAACCCCAAGTTCATCCTGCTCGTCCATCTTCTCCAGCACATGCTTCCAGCTGTGATTTAGTTATCATATTAGTTAGTTAATTAGTTTACTTGATAGATTAGTTAGCCATTTTACTCTATAAATAAAGCTCTTGTATNTTCATCTTCTTCCCTGCCTATTCCAGCAGGTTTATCCTCTTTTATTTTTGATACAATGGACTGCTGGTGGAGGTGGCGAAGGTGGCGGAGTTACTGGTGGAGGTGGAATTGGCGCAGTTACTGGCTGAGGTGGAGGTGGATGTGGATGTGGAGGTGGAGTTGGCGAAGTTACTTCTGGGTGGCGATGGTTGTGATGGCCATGGATGTAATGGTGATGGTGGTGGTTGTGACGATGGTTGGCTCACATGCCATTGAAACATACGAACAGACTAATAAGAAACAACAAAACCAAGAATCTGTTTTCCTTCACCATCGAAACTCTGCAAATCTATCAAACTTTCTTTGTTTTTAAGAATTAATCAAGTATTTATATATAATCAGTTCAATACTTGAATAGAATTTGAGATGGAATTGAATTCTTGACTGAATATGTTACATATTGTAATATTTGTAGACTTCTTGCTAATATGCAAATCTTAGTGATTAGTTTCCTTTTGTTACTTGGAGATGTATTTATTTTAGTAGGACGCTTCCTATTGGTTGAATTTATTAACGTTGTAAATACTCGAAATCTAGTTGGAATAGAATAAAATAGCTAGGCCAGCTTCAGAAACATTTACACAAATCGCACTACTTAGCGGCACCTATTAAATATAAGCACCAAATTCGAATATGTTAAAACGTTGAAAAAATTACAATTTATAATCATAAAATCATGGTTTTCAAATGGGATCAGATTTGATTGGCTGGTCCGTTCGGAAACCCGGGGAACTGACCAACGGGTCTGGGTGAGATGATTGGACCGTAATGCAATTGTTATTGAATTTTTCATGTTTCTTTTTTTAATATATTGTATTTAAAGATTGGTGGGTTATTAATCATGATCCTTGGATGAAGCACTCTTTTAAATAATGCCTTCCTCGATCATCATTAAGAGAATCTTGTACACCATGAAATGAAATTTGATCGCCGGAAATTCTCAGTGCCACCGCCTGTGCACCAACTTTTCCAGGGTCCGGCGGAGGAGCTGTGTTCTTCCAAGAAATGCATTATAACATAATTTTGGTGAAACAACTACGTCAATAAATGGAACTGTTGAAACAACTGATAAACAATTTTGTTTCGCGATGATTTGTCTGGAGATGCATCGTCATTTTCAAATTCTTCTCCATATTTTTTCCATCCCTATATTTGATAAAGTGTATGAATCCATATATGGTCTTTCTTTACAACTACTCAACATAAATTAAAAAATACTTTCAACATTGAAAAAGCAATTTAAAACACGAAACACTACAACTCAAGAAATTAGTTTGCATCGTAAAGAACCCCTAATGTCCTGATACATACATATGCAGCAATTTCTTAGGGTTCAGAACCTCTATTGAGTGATTTGCAACGAGCCTAAGGTTTAAGATCCAGTCAGATGTATACACACGCAAAACTGGACATAATTAATAGGCAATCAAGAAGGCTCGTGTCGTGGCCTAGATTGACGACATTCAATGCACATAAAAGAGATGTAATGCCTAAGCTCGACCCAAGAAGTCTACTAGTCAAGCCTACATCATGTGTTCAAGAGGTCGAGGATTAATTACTGTCTAGTGATATCTACAGCAGCTTCAACAGATTGCACTGTAGTACTTTTTTGAGTTTTTGTACCTAAAAAGATCTGGGAACAACAAAAAATTTCACTTCCCGTATCATATACATATTGAATGGTCAAGGTACCACGACAAAGGGGACACAACAGCTTCAACATATACAATGTCACAACCATCGCACGGTCTAAAAGAACTATATTGCTATAGCAAGCTCCTAATTAAAATGGATAGGGAAAAGATCCATATCTTATGCAGCTTCAGCAGTTATAGGACGAGAAACAGGAGGTTACAAAACAGTCTTGACTGGTATATAAGAAGGCATCTAGCAAATGACTTATTTACATGCAACCGAATTCTGAGGGGGGAAGAGGGCGGACAATCAAAATCTAGGCAGCATTTAAGCAAATAACATACAACCGACAACTTATTTACACAGTTCAATCATTTAGCATTGTCAAAAGTCTTAAAAGTACTTTCCTATTCCTTTTTGCTGTTCTATATCTAACTTGCAACATAATCCAGCTTTCAGAATTAGTTGAAGATTTAAATTTTAAGAAATTAGAATCTTGCATAATGTCATGAAGCCTGTATGCCAATCGCTGCAAGGGAACATCAGGTTCTGCTTCCTCTTTGAGTAATAATTCGACATCTTGGAACCCCTTTACCTAACATAGA